CTTGTATATTTTGTTTATTGTAAAAATTGCTGGGTTACACACACTTCCTTCATGTTGTACCAACACAAATCGATTAAGTTACCTTAATCTTTTTTTTTTTTTTTGCAAATGTAAGTGTAAGACAACAATTAAGTTGTCCCCAAAAATCCTCAAAAATATGTTGATTCAGCTAATTTTGAATAAGCAGTTTGAACAACCAGCCAATCACTTTTGAAGTGTTAGTTTAAGATGTATATTGTAAAATTTGCCAATGTGTATATTGTGAAATATGTTTTTCATCTCTTGTTTGTAAATTTCACTAAACTAAACTAAACTAAACTAAACTAAACTAAGCTAAGCTAAGCTAAGCTAAGCTAAGCTAAACTAATTAACCCAGTTAAGCCTTTAATTTGCACTTTAACACTTAATATGAGCATTTTGCTAAATGAAATGCAATGAAACTAAACTAATCTAAATTAGTCAACCCAGTTAAACCTTTAAATTGCACTTTAAAGCTTAATATTAGCATCTTGCTAAACTTAACTAAACTAAATTAAACTAAACTAAACTAAACTAAACTAAACTAGTTATCATAATTAATCCTAGTTAAGCCTTTAAATTGCACTTTAAAGCTTAACAATAGTGTCTTGCATAACTAGCAAAACTAAACTTAACTAAGTAAACTATTAAAATCTCAGAGGAGAAATATACAATTAAATTACTTAAAATTAATAAAAATAAATTTATGCTAGTAGGCAAAAAATATGTATCACTTCATTAGGTATAATTTAAAACTATTAAGGTAAAACTATAAAAACAAGTAATTAAAAATGCACCACAAAATCACAAACAAACTTTAAAATATAAATTTAAAGGATATGTAAAAAAATTTAAATTCAAAAGGGTAAAAAAACATGAACCTCCTCAACTCAGTCAGTGGCGTACAGTAGAAAAAACCTCCATGATATCTTCTTCTGAAGCATCACAGTGAATTGTCACAGGGGAATAAAAGCGTTTTATGGTAATGCCTGAGTAGAGCTGCCCACCAGCTCTCTTTGTTGCATTAAGAAGCACAAGTGCATGTAACTCAACAATGCATGGAAATTAGGGGCGAACGCAGTAGAACAACTATAAGCATCTGCACGTTTGTAGAAAAGCGCCCGTGGCTCCGTTAAACGCCAAGATGCTTTTATCATCCATAGTTCATGTTCTTCATGTTGGTTTTTCACAAGCGCGCTCTTATCCAAGGTATCTAGGGAGGTCTTTGACACTGATTGGTGGGAGCGTCTGATCGCTTCGTTTTAGAAGAGAGGGAAAAAGAGAGAAAAAAACTTGAGTGCCTTTGTGATCGGCTCAGATGGCTTCGAGAATCCGTCTCCAGACTTCATTACTGAATCTCTCTCTGTCACCGTCGCACGTGTCAAGCCATTTTTCCCCTTTTCCTCCTCGAGAGAAGACAAAGGTAGAAAAACTAATCTTTTAGCTATAATCAGGAAAATGATTAATGTCTCAATTGTGGGTTGCTGACAGGTACAGCAGGATGCACAAAGGCAATTGTCTGCCATTCGGAGAGCCCCGCCAGGTAACGGGAGGGAGGATAGGAGGAACAGAAGCAATTTGGGGAGGAGGCTGGTGACAGTTTGACGGCCGCTCGCCTCTGATTGCCACGGCTGTTTTGTTCCCTCACTCCCTCGCCAAAAAATACAGAGAAAGAAGAAATACGTAATCGCAACCTCAGTGGTTAATAACAATAAAAAAAGAACGCCTGGAATCAAAGCCTGAAAGGAGGAAGGCAACCCTTCGTTCTTGTAAAGAAAAGAAAGAAAGAGACACATCAGACAGCCCACACTACATCTTTCACAGGAGCTCTGGGCTCTTGGAGGAACGGGGGGCTTTCTGTCACTCCTCATATCGGGTGTCTCTTTTAGGAAAAGTGACTTTAAGGAGAACTACCCACATACTGGTGCATCTGTACAGAAGAGGACTGAAGTGTAGTTACGCTGTATGTTTGGCTGTAGCAGTTTTGATTTCACCTCAGCGAAGTACGAGATAATGTGTGATTAGCATTTTTGAACACTTCCACACACACACACATACACACACGAGATGTTGTTTACTTCTCATAATTATGCTTATAAACATAGAGTCCTATCATACTTGAGATATCAGACGTACTATTTAAAGTCTGTGTGTAATCAGCAAATTAGCAATGTTAGCTCATTGTTATTCTTTAGGTGAACAATTAATCTAAAGTTAATCAACTAAAAAAAAAGCTTTTTCTGGTAATCTTCAATCATATTTTGACCATTTGCTTCTACGTTTGGAGTAACAGTGTTTTTCTATTGATGTCAGTTTGACAGCTTCAACCACAGTATTCTTAGCCACGCCCCTCTTACTGTTAGTTTGCTATGAGGGAATGATGTGTATAAAAAAAGTCCCACCCCTTAATCAATTTAAAGTTTCAGTTGGACGTACATCAACATATGGAAATAAAAGTCCAAAGCCTCCTTTCCACTGCACACGATTCGGATCCGGATCCGATTTGAGCTGCGGATGAGTTAAAATATTCTCTTGCGACTAGACTGTATGTGATGTATTTCAGTGTTGTACAAGCAGGTCCGTCTGCGCGAGATGAGAAATAGTATTTTTTTTGTTATTTTGTTATGACGCAGATGAAACGTCAAGCGCAAGTGGTTTACATTTTAAGTCAATGCCAAGATGCGAATAGGGTATCCGCTTGTTAAGGGTGACGTCACGCAAAGCGGCTTCCAGGTCCAAGCGCACTATTCTACTTAATGGTGAGACTCGTGAAATGGTAATAGTAAACGTTTACAAAGCGATTTAATACTTTCGAAAATCACGATCGCAATATATATGTCCATGCCTAATATCCAATGGCCAGAAAGTGGTTAATTTTTTTATAAATTGTTAAAATGTTGGTATTTGTTATGCAGCAAGCCCAGAGATTGTTGTGTACACTATGACTTTGTATAAAATGAACTTTAATGTGTGATATGAATAAAAAGTGATCATAAATGAATATTTTCTCAACTCAAGTGAGTGGCGGCTGGGACCCGGAAACAGTATTACATACGTCACCAACATGTTACCACTTAACAAGTAGATATGCGGAGCAAGTTTTACCTTCCCATACTCATAAATTTCCGGTGAACGGTTAATGTGACTTTTTTCCCATTTAATATGGTTCCTTTTACAGCATTGATGTTGTAATGTAATTAAAATATAATCAGTAAAATAGACTTTAGCATTTATTTAGTTGTTGAAGCGTAAAACGAAACAAAAGGCTCTCACGCGCCCTTAAGAATCTTGCTGAAACTCGAGAACAGTTCATCAAACTGTGCTGGGCTCAGTCTGAAGCAGTCTGAAAGCTTCTATCATCCAGGTACAGTTTCTGGAGGAGTTGATGAACTCACAGAGCTGCGTGCACCTCTGAAAGGATTTAGTGGACTCAGACATGGCGCACAACCAACACACGCTGTTTGTCAGCCTTTCTAAAGCACATAAACCCAGCTCACCAGGCAGATAGAAGCCCATGACATAATCCGCATTTATTGTGAAGTGAATTTAACGGTTGATTTGAAGGTTGTATGTTACCAAAAATGTTCATGCATTTATTTACGCGCAAATACCGCAATTTATTCACGTGTGCTGTGTCTTGTGTGGGTCTTGTCTTGAACAGGTACATTTGAATTCGAATTCACTACATGACTTTTAGAAAAAAGTATGTTCTATATTGTGTGAATGTGAGTAATATGAATGAAACCTGGATGTACTATATCCACCGTTTGTCATTATCAAGTGACCTACACGCTTCAGTAGTGTCGCTTCACTCCCATTTATTAAGTCTCTAGTTTGGCATCATAAGATAACTTAGATTCTTGTCAGATTCTCGCCAAAAGTAGCAAGACATTCGGGTACTTCTCGCTTGCTGCTTTTCACATACTATGAATTCGGACATACAGTACTCTTCAGCTTGCATGCTGCTTTTAGCATACTATATAGTATAGAAGTGTGCAATTTCAGATGCAGCCATACCAACTTCTGGTTCATGCGATGTGGCGCAGTACATGTGTATTTTTCAGCGCTAGAGAGCGTGCATTACTCGTATTTTTTTCTTTTTTTTTTTTATCAAATAATACAATAGAAGACAGAAGATGCTACTGGCTATCCCATCTTCTTGTCTGACCGGAAAAAAGCAGAAAAAAAATACTATTCCATTAATTAAACTCGGACCTCCTGCAGTGGCGAGCAAATTGAATTCATACCGACTCCCCAACCCTGGGGCTTTTATTATTTTTTCATTATTTTCAGGACGTATTTATGCTGACCAAGACATTCTATCTGCAGCTCGTCCTCTTTTGAAACCCATTAACCATTTACCTGCCCAGTATCCACCTAGTATAGCACCTCGCACGAATGTGTACAGTACTGTGTGTATGAAGGATTCTGCAAATAATGCCCAACAAATTCCAGTTCTGCAAAGGTGGTACAAGCCCAGTAAAATGCTCAAATTAAATGCCTCATCCGCACCACTTTGCGCAGACTGAATAATTCAGCAGGGTACTTAGTGGAAATTACAGATACACAGCTTGAAAAAGAGGTCACGCAGAGGCTTGTGGGTAGGAGATATATGAGATTTCTAGAGCTGTGGCTGTGAGTCACGACGGATCTCGCCTCCGTGGGTCAACAGAAAAGACAGAAATTAGTCTAATGCATCCCCTCCAAAAAAGCCAGCGCTCAGATTGTGCAATCCTCTCTCTTTTGAAAGTCATCGATAATTAACTCAAACCAGCAGACAAAGCATCCCACTTCTCAAGGTCACACATCTCTGAGGTCGAACTGATACGATTGGGTTTCATGGCAGCGGCCCTGGTGAGATATCAGCTCACGAGAGAGAGCAGTTCTCCCAGAAGCCCCCTGAGCTCAGGTAACTTGAGGTCGTATCAAAAGTGAGGGCGGATAATTGAGCAAGCGCCGATAACGCAAATGAAGCTACTCACGTTTACGGATTCCCGCCCGCCGTACTTGATCCGAATCCTCGGCTCCTGTATCACATCCAAGTTCGTCCCGGTCACCACCAGAGGTGTGTGTCCGCTGAAAAAAAACACAAACACACACAGCAAGGTATGAATGTGAATTGGGATAAATGCAACAGCAACAAAAAAAACTTTGACGCGGAAGAAACTCATCTACATTTAAATCAAACGCTGCCCTCAAAACTTGTTTCTTTGTGATGTGCGCTTAGAAGATAATACGCTTTTGAGAAGGTCCTGATTAGAGACGCTTTTAACCGTCTTCAGTAGATTTAATCAAACATACTAGATGTGTCTTTGAAAACACTAAAGGAAAAGAGTCCTGCTTAGCATTCTGGGAATGTTTTCTGTGGTTTGATAAAGAACAACAAAAGGGGCGAGTGTCTGGGAGTGGAGCTGTAGCTGGAGGTGTTTCAGTTGTTTACTCTTGAGCGCTTCATTAGCCAGGCGCCGCTCGTACAGGGTTCTGTTCGGTGTGGTTCAACAAATAAAGCATCGTGACCCCATCTACTGATGCCCTGGCGTGGGGCACTCGCCCACAGGAAGGAAAAATCACATTTGAGGTTCACATTTCTCACAAACAGCCATATAAAGAGATCTTAAAGGGATGGTTCATTTAAAATAATTGCCTTGATTTACTCACCCTCAAATGGTTTCAAATCATTATGAGTTTGTTTCTTTTGTTGAACACAAAAGAAGATATTTTGAAGAAAGCTAAAAAACCTAACTTCCATATAGGAAAAACAATATGGAGGTCAATAATTACAGGTTTTAGCATTCTTCAAAATATCTTTGTTTGTTTAACAGAAGAAGCAATCTCATTAAGGTTTGAAGCAAGTAAAGGGTGAATTAATTTTTGTGTGAACTAACCCTTTAATCTACTTACCCTTAAGCTGTCAAACATGTTGATTTTTTTATTATTTAGTAGGACAGCAAAGAGGATTTTTCAGAAACTCTTGTCCCCTGGTATATAATGGAAGTCAGTAGCTTCCATCACTTCGCAATTGAGGTAATAAAGATGTACACTACCAAAAGTCTTGTCGCCTATCCAAGTTTTAGGAACAACAAATAATAACTTGACTTCTGGTTGATCATTTGGAATCAGAATTGGCTTATATGAAAGGCAAAGGCCTCTAGATTACGCTTATTTTACCAAAATAAAATATGATCATGGTCTTGTTTTTTAATTACTTATTTAGGACAGTAAGGTTTGATTTTGCTGAGACAAAAGACTTGTCACTCAAAGGGGTGGTTCACTACGATGTCATATTTTAAATGTAAGTGTAATGTAGCTGTGTGAACATAAACAGCATCTCTAAATGTAAAAAGCTCAAAGTTCAATGCAAATCGAGACCTTGGTTTTTACAGAGTTAGCTGTAACGTTACAGCAGAGGGAGCTAAAATGCGTCCAAACGCCGCTATTTCCACAGAGCTCCGTCTGTTTCTGTATTTAGGCTTCCAAAGGACACGACACAAAGACAGAAGTGCTTACAGTTCAATATTAATTATGGTCCAGAGAATTATAAAATACACAGCAAGCATGATTTGACAAAACGCAGCTCCAGAATCTCTCCCAGTTCAGTGCTGGATTCGGTTAAAATCTTCTCAAAGCAGAAGCTGTGAGCTACAACCTGTAAGTGTATTTATTTGTTAAAATTGATCATGACATGTACAGTGTCTAGCGTTAACGGTATGCTGTAGCAACGATGTAAACAATGGGAAATGCTGTTTGCCAATGTAACCCCAAATCATGAGTTTTCTTTCATCAAACTTGACTGATTTCTGTGAGAATCTTGGGTCCATGCAGGTTCCAATAGGTCTTCTGGAGTATTTGTGATGATTGGGATGCAGTTCAACAGATGATTCATCAGAAAAATCGACTTTCTGCCACTTTTCCCAATGATCAACTAGAAGTCAAGAAATTATTTGTTGCTCGTACAATCGACAATAAGACTTTTGTCAGGTAGTGTAAAATCTATATATATATATATATATATATATATATATATATATATATATATATATATATATATATATATATATATATATACATATATGTGTGTTCAGTTTGTTGCACAGAGTGATTGCATCGCATTGTCAGAAGCCCTTGCTATTATGATGTCTTTTCAATATACTTTTAAAAACTCAAAGTAGTACCCCTGACTGATTTTCATTATAGTATATAGATCTCAGAGGACAATGATTCCAGCTACAAATTGTCTTTACTCTTCTACTTTACAAAAAAGTCAACAGCATCTTGGATGGCTTGAGAGGTCAGAAAGGAAATTAAAAGGAAATTACCAATTTGAGTGAATTATCCCTTTAAATACAATGCAAACATTTCTTGTCTCATTCTACCAAGGAATTCAGCTATAAAATCTGCATTCTATTTTAGAGCTCTATAATCTTACAGGCAGTGAAGAATTTTTCAAACATGTTTGTCACTATCTGAGTTGTTAATTTGTTTGTTGAATGACATTGTCACTACTTTTAATTACAGCACTGTGTATATACAAATCATGATTTAGCACTGGAAGGTAAACAATTTACTTAGTGCTTACAAAACGTTATGATTTTCATGAACACTAAAGAAGATATTTCAAAGAAATCTAAAAACCTGTTATCATTGACTTTCATAGTAGGACATACAAATACTATGGAAGTCGGTGGTTATCAGTTTCCAGCTTTTTTCCAAATATCTAGAAAGAAAGTCAAACAGGTTTGGAATAAGTAAAGGGTGAGTAAATAGCTGAATTTTCAGTTTAGGGTGAACTTTCCCTTTAATTATAATTATTAGTCAAACACAAACCCTTGTTTTATTAATACGCTATAAAAGTCAATGGGTTTTAACATAGATTGGTTCCCATCATTCCTAAAAATATTGTCACACACACACAGTTCAAATTTTAAGTATACTGTACATTTAAGTCTTCAGAGCTATGAACAATAACCTTTGAGCAATATAATATTGCTGCTGGCTGACATGACAGTACATACGGTTCTTGTGTATCTGTGTGTTAGATCTGGAATGACAGAGACATTCTCTTTCCGCATTTACTCCAGCTTTCAGAGAACCCGTATCTCAGCATAACTTATACAATCATTCTCAGCACATTTCTATTTCAGTCTCATTTTTTGCTACTGTATATAATGAGTAGCACTTTGCCATGAATATGATATAGCTCTGAATAATCTGTCCAGATCTGTATAGTGAAATGTGAGAAAATCCCTTAAAGGAAGAGTTCATTCAAAAATTACAAATATCTTGTTTTATATACAATGGAAATGAAAGGATTCTTTTTTTTTTTTTTACATATCTTCTTTGATTTTTGGCAGAATAATCAAAATAATGAGGATGTGAAAATTACAGAATATTCTTTTTGGGATGAAACATCCTTTTTAGGATGTAGTCATTGTAGAATTTAAACAGTATGAAAGGTACAACTGGGAATGAAAAGATTCGAGAGCTCATATTATATGACACTTGGAAAGTAAACATTTCAAATTTCTTCATTCATTAATTTTTCTTTTGCTTAGTCTCTGATTTATCAGAGGTTGCCACAGTGGACTGAACCGCCAACTATTCCAGCACATGTTTTACGCAGCGGATGGCCTTCCAGCCGCAAGCCACCCATACACTCTTGAATCCACACATTAAGGCCAATTTAGTTCAACCAATTAACTTATAACACATGTCTTTGGACTATGGGGAAAACCGGAGCACCTGGAGGAAACCCACACAAACACAGGGAGAACATGCAAACTCCACACAGACATGCTAACTGGCCCAGCCGGGACTCGAACCAGCGACCTTTTTGCTGTGAGGCGACAGTGCTAACCACTGAACCACCGTGTCCCCCAGTTTTAAATGATGATTATGATTTAAAAATGTAACTTCTAGGTCAGTAAGCAAAAAAATAAAACAAAACAAATTATGATACTGACCATGTGACTGGTCAGATGTGCATGTTTTAAGTAATTTAAATGATCAGTTTAACTTTTCTTAAAGGGATAGTTCCCCCCAAAATTAAAGTTGTAAATTATTTATTCACCTTTTACTTATTTCAAAGCTTTATAAGTTTTCTTTCTTCTTTTTTTATTCAACAAAATAATATTTTTAAAAATGTTGAAAACCTGTAACCATTGACTTCCATAGCATTTGCATTTTTTACTATGAATGTCACAAGTTACATGTTTTTCAGCATTCTTTAATATATATTATTTTCTTTTCAACAGATCAAAGAAATAAATAGAACTTTAAAACCACACAAGAATGAGTATATTTTAGTTTTCGGGTGAATTATTTCTTTCATTTTTATGCTAAGAACAATAGATTTCTTCATACTATGCAATGGATTTTTTTGGGCAAAATGAAAATCAAGAATTTCTTTTAAAATCTTAGAAGTGTTTTAAAAAATTGCTTTAGCTTCACAGACCCATCTACATGATTGCCCTGACATGATGTAAATCCTTTTTATTTTTAAAGTCTTTTTCAAGACAAAGAACTTTATCTGAATGCAAGACAGCTGCTTATTCATTTTCCCACATAACACAACACACGTCCTTGAACAAAGCTGCTGAACTCCATTTATGAGATCAATTCCTCTTAGGATTGTGCCTGATATCCATTCAAATGTACACTACTGGTCAAATGTTTGGGGTCAGTTTTTTTTCTTTTTTTTATTCTGCTCATCAAGGCAACATTTATTAAATATAAAAAACTATTGGATTGTTAAAGTGCTTTTTTATTGTATGTAGTTTCAAATTAATTATTACTCCAGTCATTATTGCTTTTATTACTAATATTAGTAATAATATTAATATTAATAATAATATTAATAACAATAATAATAATAATAATAATAATAATAATAACAATAATAATAATAATAATAATAATAATAATAATTATTATTATTATTATTATTATTATTATTATTATTATTATTATTATTATTATTATTATTATTATTAATGATAATATTAGAGTGATTTCTGAAGGATTATGTGACCCCTCAGTCTTCAGAGTAATGAAGCTGAAAATTCCTCTTTAAATTCACTTTAATAAATGATTAAATTAAATTATGAACTACTTTTGAACAGTTTTTTAGTGAGTAACATTTCACAATTGTACCATTTGTACTGTCTTTGATTAAATAAACACAGCCTTGGTGAGCAGGATAAGCTTATTTTAAAACATTTAAAAAAAAAACCCTCTGACCCCAAACTTTCAACCGGTAGTGTATCTACACAGCTCTCTATAATCCAGCACTAAAGCAATGCACCATCATATATGTTACCTTGCGATGCTCCATTCCGGCTCGATTCGCTGAACAGTGGGGTCGTCTATATACTCAAAAGCCAGGATGTCTCGAACTTGGGCGCGATCCACACTCACGCTGATCTGAACCGAACCCACGCCCGTCAGAGATGGTGCAGAGTAACACACAATCTCTGTCATAGTTCGTCTGAGGACAAACAAAAGCCGATACAAACCAATCAGACCACCAGGTCTTTATATCAGAAGGCTAGACATGCTGTTCAGACACACTATATATGAACAGTGCTTGTGGGCGGCCCTCTGCTCTTTTCAATTGCAGTCTTTTCTCTGAAAGTGCTACCCATGGAAAGTGAGCATTAGTCATTCACTGCAGCATATTAGTGTGCGATAAGCTGCTTCTTATTGCAGCACCAACAGGAACACATCATCCTTCCATAGGAACACAGAGGAAAGCAAGAATCTGCAATTAGCTGCTATCGCATTAAAAGCGGTCTTGGGCCTTTAAGTGGTACAATCATCTTTAAATTGAGATCCCCGGAGAGAGTGTGAAATAAGGGGCAGATATAGGAAGAAGTCAAGCAGGGGGTATGATATTTACATATAGAAGTGTGCTGTGAAAATTAGAGGAGGAGGAGGCAGAAATAAAGTTGGATAGGGAGATGTAGAGGAATATTAACGACTTTATTGCAGAAAGTTATAGACAATGCAAATACCTAATGGGTTGCCATGCTGTATAGTACAGTAATGTCTAAACATGTTCCTAGAGGGCCAATGTCCTGTATATTTTAGTTCCAACCCCAATTAAACAAACCTAAACCAGCTAATCAAGCTCTTTCTAGGTATACTAGAAACCTCCAGGCTGGTTTGTTGAATTAAGTTGGAGCTAAACAATGCAGGACACCGGCCCCCCAGGACAGAGTTTGGACACCCCTGGTATAGTACAATATAGTTTGATTCGTTATGAGTAACTCTGATTAGCCACAGCTAATAATACCTTTACTTGGTAGCTGTAAGCGGTACAGTTTCAGACAGTGGAAATGGAAGTCATTGCATGTACTGTACTGTAACTGAAACGTATCACTCAGTGGAAATGAGCCACAATTAGCCAATCACATAGCAGCAAATCAATGAATCTTAATTTGTGCAGCATTATGGTGGTAGGGTCAGAATTTGGTGTAAAAACCATGAAAAGTTTGATCTATCCTGCCTTGTGTCAACATGTCAGCCCAAAGGTGGTGGTGTCCTGGTGTGGGGTTATAATTTGTGGGCACACTATGGGTCAGGAGAACCCACCAAAGCTGAAATCATCTCAAACTTGACTCTTGTATGGCTGGTATTAGCAAGTTGTAACTAGTAAAGTTGGCAATAACTAAATATAAACTGTATTGTTATTATTGGTATTATTTTAGAAGTTTTCATTTTATGCCATAGAAAAAAAGTTTGATTCTTACTCGTAAAACTCGCAGGTCTGGTTCCCAAAAAGCACAGTGACACTGCTGCCTGCTCCCAGGTTTTCCCCCATTATGGTTACTTTTGTTCCTCCAGATTCCGGACCACGACTGGGAGACAAACCTGTGACCGATGGCATCTGCAAAGACAGAAAGAAAAAATAGACTATCAGAATATATGTAAAGAACTATCAGCCAATACTACTCCTGTCTTCAGTCTTACATGACACTTAAACAGTAATTCTAAAATGCTCATTTGATGCTTAAGAAAGATTATTGTGATCAGTATTAGCGATGCACCAAAGTTGTGGCATTTCTGATTTTCACCCAAAAGAGAAAAACGCCAAATACATACCAGTATGAAAGTTTTTTTTGCAGTTTTTGTATTCGTGTATGCTTTTTCAGATCTCAAATTCTCTTGCGATTGCCATTCACGCCTGCTGTTCTCGTGAAATCCACTAGAGGCCGCTATTGACTGACTGACTGAAAGTGTTTTTAAAGGCAATTGACTGCTTGACTTTTACCACGTTTTCAGATTTTACAACATTCTCACCCTGTTATTTACTCGTTTATTATATTTTTTGCCTTTTGTTTTTGTTTGACCTGCTTTCTAGAACCGTTCCTCTCCGGATTTAAACCCCGAAATCGTGGTCAACTCTTTTCTGCAACTCAAGTCCGCCAACGTACATGTCGAGCTACTAAGCAAACTGTTAAAAGCGGAAAAGCCCTCCACATGGAGATAAGTGGTCAGCTGGTAGCGCAAAAAGAAACACACCTACCCCATAACACTCTTTTAAAGACGAAATGCAGCCAAATGTAGCTCCAGCTACATAATTTGTGCTCTCCGAAAATGTATATGGGGCTACTTTTTCACAATAAGCCTGTGTTGAAATGAAGGGTTATGCTTCGCCGCAATGTCTAAGAATGTTTTCACTCTCCCTCCAGCTGTGGCTCCTCCAATGTGCGTCAGACATTGAAATCAGTGTGCTATTAAACCCCGTCATTTCAATGCACTAGGCGAAAAAGGCATGTATATTGCTGCATTGACTAAACCAAAGAAAATAGCAGAATCAAAATTTCGCATGAAGGGTATATTTAATATTTAGTTAATATTTAGTTCTGCTTATGCATGAACTGCACATGCTCACCAGAAAAGCATTCAAGTCCACTCAAATAACACGCCAACAGGACATTTCTATGTAGTATAAATGGCAACACAGTTAAACTGACACCTCTCAACTGTCAATAAGATGCGGCTGTTTTATTGGACTGTGTTTTTAAAATTATTATAATCTAAATTATTGAGTAAAATTTTAAAAAGTCCCAATAAAATATTAAATAACTATTGCAAAGGTTTTTTGATAATGGTTTTTGACCAAGTGCATCTACAATTTTCCATTTGGCCCAGAATATTCATTACAGTGCACCTCTAAATTGGTATTTATTTATATTTATTCTTTGATTAAATAATTGCTAAATATTTAATCATTCTATATATGAAGTACTGTCATTTTGATCAAATTAATTTATTTCTTTCATAAAAAACAACATTATTTTCACATGAAAAGAAAACTTGCTGCTTGTGACACAGAAATGACACAGCGCTGCAGCTTCCTCGATCAGCCGAAGACGAGCATGTTTTGAATCCGAATCGGTCTACATGTGGGTGGCTTTTCCACAAAAGACAGCCAACGTCTGTAAATAACAACTGTCCTTCATGAGTCTCATACGCCTTCTGCTCCGCTCGCAAATAAAGAGCACACGCAACAAAGAAAATGCCATTTCCAGCCTTGTCAGAGTGATGCGAGCTCATGAAAGGCACGTCTGAGGAGAAATAAAAGCCTTTTAAAAAAAACATCGAACATAAACTCTCTAGTTCCCCAGTCCTCCTCGGTTTAGTGTACACAGGGACTGCAAGCGGCAGATGGAGAAAACTGAAAGAGACAGCTCTGTGTCTTAAGAAAGCAGATGAAACGGCTGGCGGTCGACTTCACACGTGCACAGACTAAAAAATGAATTAACACCAATTTGGGTCTCGCCTCTCATTGTTCTACAACTGGTGGGCCGCTCAGGGACTTCATGATGTCCGACAACATTTTCTGAGATAACATGCTGCTTTTATACTGTACAAATGCATGTGTACAAATGTATACAGAAAGTGGCTGTAATACAGCGGTGAAAAAAAGTATTGAACACGTCATGTTTTTCCCTGGGAATAATATTTCTAAAGGAACTGTTGACATGGAATTGAACCAGATTTTGGTAAAAAAAAAAAAAAAAACAATACAAACATAAAAATAAAATCAAACCCCAAAAAATCTGATAAATGAGTTACAGTATGTGTATTAACAATGGAATGACACAAGGAGCAAGTACTGAACTACTAAAAGGTAAATAAGACTTTACTGATTTGATGGCAGCTTAAAGACGCCTCTCATATGGAGAATGAAGTCAAATGCATTGTGTTATAGTCACCAGCGATCTAGCCACTGCGGATCGCTGGAGAACTACACACATGCCACATTTACAAACTACAACTCCAAGCATGCACCTCGCACACACCGGTTCCTGCTTCACCTGGATTACACACACACACAAACAATCGGAGAATCAGAATAAACTGATTACATGGAGTTTAAAAACAGCACAGACACACACATCAGGGCTGAGTTTTGTTTTACTGTTAGTGGACATTACGATGCATCCTTGCATTTCCTATTCGACCTTTTGCTTTGTACCTTTGTTTACATAGTTTGCCGTCTGGTCCGTTCTCTTTGCCTGTGACCTGACTACTCTTTTGCTTCACCCGAATGCACTTGTTTGCTCCTGTTATTGATCTTTGCCTGTCTGACTATCCTCTGTTGAATAAATACTGTACGTGGATGGTCAATTCCGTTGTCAGTATCCGTCCATGACACATTGCTCAGGTGTAAGCTTTTCACAGACTTCAACAGAGTGTAAAAATCTTGATAGTTCTGTGGGTCTCGTCTAGCAGATCTGATCTTTACTTTGTAGTTTCTATTGGGTTCAAGTTAGGTGATTGGCTGGGCCATTCTAAGGCTTGATTTTCTTTTTCTGAAAGCATCTGAGAGTTTCCTTGGCTGTGCTTTGAAATGTCCACCCTGGTTTCACTGTTATCATTCTGATAATGTACAGTAGATGTTGGACTAAAGCAGCTAATATTAATTTACACTGACAAATGGAAGAGGACTGCTGAATAACTACTGAGATTTCAGCTGCTGTCTGGGCTTTCAATGCCTTTCTACATCTTTCTCCCTTCATGTGTTCAATACTTTTTTCCTGTGTCATTTCATTTTATGACACATAACTTAATTTGCAAACTAATTTGTTTTGTTTTCTTTGCATACAAAGATTTCTTTGGCTGTTACCAAAATCTGGTGCAAAATTCAAGTCAACAGCACCTTCAGAAATATGTTTTCTGAAAGAAATGGTGACATGTTCAATACGTATTTCCCCCACTGTATAAACAGCTCCCCTAATTAGAAAAGCCTGTTCATTGTGGTGGTATGGATGATTGTTTGCTTTTAGTGTGTGTGTGAATGCTGCTGTTGATTATCTATTAACCCCAGGCCGGCAGTTGGGTGTTTGGGACAGGTGTGCAACAGTCCCCACAGGTGTGACAACATGGCAACCATCCTCCATCCTTTGATTTGCTTAATGGCTTTTATTGTCTCCCTGTTCAATATGCACTCCCTGTGGTGTTTCGTCTTCATAATCACTCAATATTTTAATAACCGAAAAACAAGTTCTATTATGCTGACGAGAGCTGCGCTTCTTAACGCAGAAAGCAGGGCTGCCGTTTTACCAATAACAATGACGCACACACACAGCGGCAATCTGTAAATTAGCAAGTTTTTACGGCACATCTCGAGTCTTTTGTGCTTGACGAGTGCATTAGTTCAATAAACACGCTTTTCTTTTAATGTCTTGGTGAATATTTGTGTAAATAATGCTATTAACCGCTAATCGGCAGCATCGTTTAAGAGGACAGACAAAAATAGTACTTTAAAAAGCACTAAATAGAACAATTAGCTGATAAAAATGTCACGCCAGCCATAAAAAAAGGTTATTTTATTGACCTTATGGCTTTTAATGACTTTTCATTTGCATGGAGACAGTTTCCACACATTAATGGGGTGATTTCCTAAAGAACTCTTTGGACAGATACAAACTACTGATATTTAAATACATAAATATAATATGCTAATGTACTCCTTTTGCTGCCAGATTTTGCTGTAAAAATAGAAGGCTTACAGACTTTAGGCTCTGCCTAAAACCGTGGATTGCAAAAGATTGATTGGGGTGCGTGTTTACAGTTTGGGAGCCTAAAAATAAAACATATGCATAGTGCCGTAGTGGCATGAACACAATTACAGAGCATCATTCAAGATTTCTAACAGTCAGAATGATATTATTTGCTAATTATGGAGAAAGATATGTTAACACATTTTTAAAGATACAGTTTAATAACTAATTTCTAATAACTAATTATTATTCTTGTGCATGATGACTACACAATATTTAACTAGTTATTACTAGTTACTGCAAGATATTAGTATTCAGTTTAAAGTTCAATTTAAAGGCTATCTTAATTATGAAATCTGGACTTTACTAGAACTATGTTAAGCTGCTTTGAAACAAACTACGGCTTTAAAAAGCATTATATAAATAAAAATGAACAGAATTTAGTTGATTTAGGTTAACTAGGCAGGTGACCTTAAATTGACCTTAAAAATCATTATTATACACTCACGGCCACTTTATTAGGTACACCTTACTAGTACCGGGTTGGACCCTCCCTTGTCTTCAGAACTGCCTTAATCCTTCGTGGCATAGATTTAACAAGGTACTGGAAATATTCCTCAGAGATTTTGACATATTGACAGGATAGCATCACGCAGTTGCTGCAGATTTGTTGGCTGCACATCCATGATGCGAATCTCCCGTTCCACCACATCCCAAAGATGCTCTATTGGATTGAGATCCGCTGACTGTGGAGGCCATTTAAGTACAGTGAACTCATTGTCATGTTCAAGAAACTAGACTGAGATTATTTGTGCTTTATGACATGGCGCGGTATCCTGCTGGAAGTAGCCATCAGAAGATGGGCACACTGTGGTCATAACCTGGTGTAGTTTTCTGCCGCTGTAGCCCATCCGGCCTCAAGGTTGGATTTGTTCTGTGCTCAGAGATGCTCTTCTGCAAACCTCAGTTCTAACGGGTGGTTATTTGAGTTACTGTTGCCTTTCTATCAGCTCGAACCAGTCTGACCTCTGGCATCAACGAGGTATTTGCGCCCACAGAACTGCCACTCAATGGATATTTTCCTTTTTCGGACCATTCTCTGTAAACCCTAGAGATGGTTGTGCATGAAAATCCCTGTAGATCAGCAGTTTCAAACCACCCCGTCTGGCACCAACAACCATGCCACGTTCAAATTCACTTAAATCACCCTTCTTCCCCATTCTGATGCTCAGGTTGAAATGCAGGAGATCATCTTGACCATGTCTACATGCCTAAATGCATTGAGTTGCAGCTATGTGATTGGCTGGTAAGAAATTTGCATTAAAGAACAGTTAGACAGGTGTACATAATAAAGTGGCCAGTGAGTGTATTTTACAAGAGGGATAATGCTTTTGAATATACAGTATAAATACACAGATGATCCTTATATTCAAAAATATAATTAGAAACATTAATGTAGACACTTATAAAATCTTTTTTGTGCATATAAATGGATGACTAATGAGAGATAGGGGACGTACGAGAAGAAAGTCAGTGCAAAAAAAGTCTTTGTTCCTAAAAAGTAGCTGTGAACAGTTGAGGTTCACTATGCTGAGCTCTGAGTCACTTCCTCTGATTTGACATTTTCGCTGTTAAAGCGCTTCAGAGAACAAAGCAACCTCAGCAAAGCCCACCTGTCCAAAGGCATAAGATCACAGTGACCCGCAACTTCTCTTCAATGGACCAACTAAAGCCCAATTTAATAAACCCAAAACAACGGGCAGGTTCAGCATTGCCTCACTGCATTATTCAGAAGTAGCAGAACTCGAGGTCTTACCACAAAGGAATAGAGCTGAGAAGAGCGAGTCTGGAGCTCCGGTTTACACTCCCCTACACACAAATGGACCGGTCCGGCTTTACTGTCCACTGGAGCTGCATCCATTTCACATACAATCCTGAAAAAAAAAAACAAGAAACATACAAACATTCAACCCTTTGATTCATATTTTGTTTCGTTTTAAATTATGTATTGCACCTTCGGTTTGGAGAACTTCCATTCAAAAGAAATGGACAAAATAGGGTAATAATACTGAATAATAATGTAGCATAAATAATTCATATATGAAGGGAAAACTGAGTAAGGGGTGTTTTGGCTTTATGCTTTATTTTTAGTCATCTTAAAATATATACAGTTGAATTCAAAATTATTAGCCCCCCTATAATTTTCAAAGAAGTTCCTATAATATTTATTTCTTATTGAGTCTTATTTTTTATTTTTATTTTAAAAAAGCAGTTTTGTTATATTTTTTTAACTATTTGAAGGTCAATATAATCTAGCCCCCTTAAACTTTTTTCCCCCGATTGTCGACAGAACAAACTTCTTTTGTTCAGTAAGTTTCCTTCCTTAAGTCTTTCCAAACTTAAGTCTTTAAATTGCATTTTAAGCTCACTACTAGTATCTTGTACAATACATAGAAGAATTGTGTACCGACACTGTCATCATGGCAAAAGTAAAAAAATATGAAGAAATGAGTTATTAAAACTATTAAAGTATGTTTTAAAATGCTTTGGAATTAAAAATTCTGTTAAACAATAATTGTGAAATTGTTACAATGGCTGGACGTGGACATGGAGTTGAGGATCCAATTGGAGTTGATTAAGAGAATCGTCTTAGAAGCAAAGGTCGAAACAGGAACAAACAGGAGCATATAGATAATCCAAAGTGTGGTCAATAAACAGGCAAATGTTCGGTACAGGCGGCAAACAACACAAACAAAGAAACAAAGCAAAGGGTCAAACACGGCAAGGCAAGGTAGGGGAAAATGTGTCGTAATGCTCACTTAATATTTTACCAAGACTCAGCAATGGTATGTCTGTGTGTGCTTAGTTTATAGTTCTTGAAATCAGTCCATAATGACCTTCTTGCTGTGAGTGTAATCAGTGGGAATCAGGAACTGGTGTGTGCGAGGTGCATGCTGGGAGTTGTAGTTTGTTAATGTGTATAGTTCTCCAGCGCTCCGCAGCAACCAGATAGCTAGTGATCATAACAGAAATATTATTTAAATAATTACAATTTCACAGGAGATCTAATATATATATGGTCGGCTGAATTTCATCTGTTCATTCTAATAAGCTGCCTTTTAATATTGGATGAACTGATTTTTTGGTACTACCAAAACTCACGCAAAGCATCATGGTGGGTATAGGAAAACCGCTGGGTAAGCTATATTTTTAATCTTAGCTTGAATGAAGTCACCCAAATGTATGGATATCACCCACATTGCTTCAGGTCCATCCCTGGATTGACTTCAGACTGAGGAGGCAAAGCATTGGAAGTCATCTCTACTCCTGCCGAGTGATCAGTATGCGACTCTTCCTCTCTCTGCATTGATTTCCTCTTGATCTCAATGTAATTTTTGCTTTGGTTCCTTGATTGCTTTAGCGCACACATTCCATTAGCTGAATTGACAAGGCCGCCCTACGGGACCAGCGATGCGGAGACACTTCTGCTGCAGCAAAACCAGATGTTCCTGCAGGTTCTACACTGCGTAATGGGGATTCTACAATTATAGGCACTTTTGGGAAATGAACTTCCTGAAACATAGCTTTCACTCTAGGTTATTTCAGGTGCACACAAATATTTCAGTTAGATGGTGGACATCTAAACCTTACAGGAGGGTTTTGTCATTTTGTACTACATTTTTTTTATATAAGATAATTTGGAAGGTGTGATTTCTGACAAATAATAACTTATGTATTTTATCTTTTAGCATTTGGAAATGGAAAGGACAAAAAAAACAATGACTCTGGCTTGCAAATTAACGCAAGTTTCTTTCACCAGCATTTGATGTATCCTAAACAGTATATGGACAATTAAAAAAAGTAGTAATTAGCATAATTACACAAAACTACAAAACAATAATTTAATAAAAATCCTTTACTTCATTTTTTCTTTTTTTTAGAAATAAAATATCCAAAAATAAATAAATTATTATATAAAATAGATAATATGACATCATTACTGTATATTCATTCATTCGACCACACAATATTAAAATTTTTACATCAATTAAGAAATTATTTTTTGGTGGAATAATTCAATCAGAACAAAGGAAAACATTTGTTAACAGCTATAATTTTATGTAAAAAAAAAGATCTAAATTACAATATTTTTATTTGAAATTTGGAAGAAGTGTTAACATTTTACTGAAAACATACCTAATAAATTAATTTGTATATATATATTCATACAACAGTTAGTTCTCGAATCTAATTGGCTGATAGTCGTGTGATATTCCTGTAGTAACAGCACTCGTACAGCCTCTTCACCCTTGTGTATTACTCCACCCACTTAGAGTGACAGTAGAACAATAAAGTCACTACAATTTGACAAATATTGCAGCTATTGGACAACAAAATGTACTTTTAAGGCTTTTTTAGTCCATAATATAGTTGTTTAGATTGCATCTATGCAGCTTGTTGCAGGATACTACCTATTTTAAATATTTACAATTTCTGTGATACATCGCGTTGGCATTCATCAGCCTCTCATATTGAACAGAGCAAAGTCGATTGACGTTCCGCTGAAAGATGCAACAGAGGATTATAAGTCCTTAGGTGAAAAAAACTCAGCATAAATTTCTAACTACATCTGATCAAATCATGATGATAATCAAATCATCAAATATAATAATCTTGTATTTTGTAGCGCTGTATGTATACCATTGTAATCTGGTAGTGTTTGATTTGTTTTTCGGGGTTAATCATTGTGATCTCCAGATTGCAACAGAGAAATACTGAGAAATCTCTGTAGACTGATGACATTTCATAATCTTAAAATGTGAGCAAAATCAACTGATTTGTTTTTACATCAGAGATGCCCAAAGTAGGGACTGCGGGTCAAAGCTGGCCCATTGTAACCTTTGATTTAGCCCACCTTCCCATCTGAGAGGAGAGTGAAACTAGAAAGGATAGAAAGATAGTAAGATATACTGTTACTCGATGGATAGATGACTATACATAATACATCGAAGAGCGAATCAAGGCAAAAACTAGTGTAATTCCATTCTGTTTAAATGAGATTTTTTACTGTATTAAGTTAATAATAAAATAAATTTAAAAATACTGTATTAGTTATTATTAGTAATATAATATTAGTGAGTAATTACTTAAAATTAGTAATGATTTTAAATTAGTAACATAAAATTAGTATTAGAAATATAAAGCAATGCTTTCTTGTTATTTTTAAATATTATAAAATTAATTAGGAAATTACCCATGGAAACTATATTTACATTTGGCACACTAGCCTTAATCAAGTTAGGTTTTTGGCCCTTCATAAGAAAAAGTTTGAGAACCCCTGCTTTAGATATTATGCTAGAGAATCATTCAAATACTAGCTCTAAAGTGACATGGTGAATGAGCAATGGTTTCTGCTGTTCTGACGGTCCCCTGCAGATTTAAAGGAATGGCTGAAGAAAGTAGTTCCTCTTACAAAAGGGTTTTTAAGACTCTTAAACGCAATATCACACAGTGGAGTGTGTGTTATTGTGAGATATGGATGTGCATTGTCACTGGTGGCCTATATACAACCATAACGCACGGCTACTTTATATATAGGTGACACAGTGGCGCAGCAGTTAGTGCTGTCACCTCACAGCAAGAAGGTCGCTGGATCGCTGGTTCGAACTTCGGGTCAGTTGGTGTTTCTGTGTGGAGTTTGCATGTTCTCCCTGCGTTCGCGTGGGTTTCCTTCAGGTGCTCCGGTTTCCCCCACAGTCCAAAGATTTGCTGTACAGGTGAATTGGGTATAGGCTAAATTGTCCGTAGTGTATGAGTGTGTGTGTGTATGTGTGTGTGTGTGGATGTTTCCCAGAGATGGGTTTTATTACACTCAAAAAAAGATTTTTTTACACTCAATTGTTTTTGTTGCTTGTTCAAACTACTTATTTAAAATGAGCTGAAACAGAGCATTTCTTGAGATTTCATAGGAACAACTTTTATGTTTAATCCACTTACATTTGTGTTGGGACAACATAAATGAATTGTGTATAACCGTGATTTTTTTACAGTGTTTAATATAGAAATATATTATATATATATATATATATATATATATATATTATTATTTTTTTTTAAGTAACATAAACACAAGAAACGCCCATAAATGGCCACTGAACGCCCAACACAAATCAATAGAGAGTTATCATGCACTCTGATCAGGGAGCAGATCGATGTCTCTACATCACACAGTCTGATCAGGTATCTGCTTCACTGACGGGTGGCTGGATCAAATGACATAATAAAAACACAGAGGCCATTGACTGTCCCTCAGATGAAGTAAATATGAAACCGACATGAGAATTCTAATGTGAGCTGAAAGAGTGTGTGGAGGCGGCTGCTCTGCAATCGATGTTCAGTTGATATGGAGTGTTGGCATCATCAGGGATGACTGTCGGAGCACATGCGGCGCAGACGGCGTGATTGTGGGCGTGATGCGGCTTCCTGCGGTGAGTCTGACAGGCTCGGCAGACAGCGCTCACAGCTGTTCACAGCGCACATTATGCCCTCTCAATCACACAGACTGGAGGACTTTCAATTCTAAGGCAATTAAAGTTGGAAACAAGTTTAGATGTTCAATCACTGCTGCTGTTTAGTGCAACTTTTGGCTGGGGAGCTTTGCAAATTAGTTGGAAGATGCTATTATGACACCATTTTGTGTATGAAAAAAAAAAACTTTCATGAAAATTTTTGAGCGAGAGTGAAGAAGCAAGTGTTTTTTGATAATCAAAACTTTGTTTTGAAAAAACATAGTTTTTGTCATTTCCTTTGATAATATACAATAGATGTCTTATTAAAGAAATGAGGTAATGACCGTCACGTTCTAGAACTGGTTTCTCTATGCATATAATGAGATAAGACTTTGATTTGGGTAGTGATAGTTTCCTCTAGATGGAATTGTGTTATCGCAATATTGTATTAACAACTGATGTATGTGGAACATATTGATTGTACTGTAAATGGTAAGTTGCTTCAAAATGTTAATGCTAACAAGGCTGTGAGTTTGTCCAAACTAATTTTCAGGTTAAATTCCATATGAATTTTAATTCTATTGAACAGAGACTGCTATAACGAAATCATTTATAAGTTGAATTATGCAAACCATTAAAACTCTGGAATTTTTAAACTTGCGAAGAGTTCAGATGCAAAAACCTCTAAAAGCCATATGAAATTTTCTTAAAAAATTAGCATTTTTATCAGGCTCCTGTATGTAGGTTCAGTAATTTCAAGTTTACGGCACAGAATATACTTTTTAAAAAGTCTTTAAAATGAAATAACTCAACATAAACAAAGAAGTTTGAATAAATTGCTAATTTTCGATTGAAATTTCAGATGGCACTGGTTTTTACATCTGAACTCTTCATGTACATTTCTGCATAACACAGCAACAGCTAATCCAGGAGTGTCCAAACTTTGTCCTGCAGATTTTAGCTCCAGGACCGAGTTTGCCCACCCCTGAGCTAGACCAAGGGGTTGAGTTTGGGGTAGGGCCGTCTGTTTGCTTGACCAATTAAAGATGAGGTGAGTATTCTGGAAACCTGTTTGAAAACAAACATTATTCAAGATTGTAGCCGATTAGGAGCCATCTACACAGAACACGTCTCTGATCACGTGGGCCAACCTGAACTCCCTGGTTTCTCTCAAGTTTTTTTTCCTCTTCACTTTCGTCAATTGGTGAAGTTTGTTTCTCGCCTCTGTTGCTGCTGGCTTGATTGGTTCGCGACTTGTGGAGCTACGCATGGATGGATTTACTCTTCAGTGTTTGGACTTTCAGCAGAGAGAATTAAACCACGCTGAACTGAACTAAACTGAACCTCAACTCTGAAAACTGGACTGACACAGTTTCAATTTCACAGTTCAAAAGGCTATACAAATAATGAACTGAATTGAATCTAAAAATGCAAGACGCTATGATCAGTAACTTCCTTCGCCATGTTGCATTCAAACAAAATTGTCATGCCAACTTGCTGCTACAAACAGAAGCTTGTAATGTTTGCCCTGCCACTGCATTAATCTGATTGGTCAATTGTTTTGGATCAAGTCGAGGTTTTTTCAAATTGACACACAGTCAGGAAAATGTGACACTCTTGTGTGAATTGCTGCAAAAGGTGTTAGATGCAAAGGTAATGGTAATGAATATCCATCAAATGCATGTATATATTGAAAGACAATAGAAAACCAGCGCATTGAATTGTAAAAATACATTACGTAAATGGCTCCTTTAAATATCAGCTGAATATGCAAATATGGTTATACAGCTGAAGGATATTTAAATGTAAAAAGAAATCTGATTAATTTTGAATTAAATCATTTGTATTTGTTCATTTAAAGGTAGAAATGTAATACAAGTTGTAGTTACATAATAAGCTATGTCACTAAAATACTGCTCACATTATATTCACATCTCAACATTTTGCTGTCTTCCATGACAGTCCAGTAAGAAAAGGTTGACATAATCTGTAACAAGCTTGGTTGTCATAACGTGTACGATTTTTGTTCAACGCGAACAGACAGAACTGTTGAAACACAGATGTGCGACTTTCTGTTTCTGTCTGCGGGTTTGATGGGGTCCGATGGCGCATTCTCCATTTCCTCACGACACCCCTTCGCCGCGCCATACAAATGAATCCACTCCCACTCGGCTCGGCTTCATCCCGCTCGGATTAAACTGCTGTCAGAAGAGAGAAGGGCTGACAAATCTCCCTCCTACAGCCAGCAGCACGCCGCGCATTTCAATTACCGCACGTTTCCCCCCCTCCCTCCGTCTGTCCTCACCTCCGCAGCAGAGAGAGGCGCTGTGGAGACACTCCACCTGAACGCAGACACTATGTGCTATTTATACATGGTGCCATAATGCTTTAAAGCTGAATGTTTTGAATCAAATAAGGTCATGGGGTGAGTTTTTATTGTAACATTTTGTATTTTGGCTTATTTCTGTCACAAAAGCAGCTTAACCAATAGCATGAGTTTGGGGTGAGACAATCTAATCGTCTGACCAATCAAAGGTGTAAGCAGTGTTCAAAGAGTTCTGTCTATAAAAAATACTGTACTTTCTGCTGTCACAATTAATTTTAATATGCAGAGACAACTTCATAAACTATCCGAGGGTTTAATTTTTTAAAGCATTAACATTGTGGCAATTTCAAAACATTTTTTTGATTTCATTTGATTTTCATTTTTATTTGATTAGTTTTTTTATACTTAATTTTTATTTCTTTTTTAAGGTAGAAAAAGGATAAGAGAAAAATACAAATACAAATAATAAATAATAGATAAAAAAAAAAACATCAAAAACACAATTACACATCGGAACTTAAATAAACAGTTGACTGGTCACATACTTCCTTACAGGTTGCATTAACAAATACATATAAAGATGTTTACACTTTATAAATGCATAAGTACAATCCATTTCTTCAATATTGCAGGTATTTGTCCACTTGTAGTTTTAAAGAAAAAGTCATCCTCTCCATATTTTCAACATTAGATACAATATCCAACCATTCAGATTTTGTAGGGGGTTTAGATTGTAGCCACTTTCGAGTTACAGTTTTCGTACTGGTTACTAGAAGTATTTTTAATAAATACTTGTCTTTTACTGTTATGTTTTGATTAGTTTTGTTTAAGAATCCCCACTAGTTGGCGCCTATAGCCTTGTGGTTAGTGCATCGACACATGACACTGTGGTCACGGCGACCCGAGTTCGATTCCTGGCTCGAAGTCCTTTGCCTTCCCCTATCTCTGCTCCCCATACTTTCCTATCTCTAAATCTCCACTGTCTTATCAATAAAGGTAAAAAATTATATATATATAAAAGAATCCCCACTAGCTTGATACAGCAACTGTTAAATGACATGAGTTTGGAGTGTGGCAGTTTATTTGTCTGACCAATGAAAGATGAAGAGAGCATTTTAGAGAAACCTGCTTAAAAACAAATGCAGTTTTTGTCATTTTGTCATGCTAGCGGGCAGAAATTATACAATTAACCTTTAAAATCGCAATGTGTTTTTAATCAGGTAGATAAATGTAGACAGAAAAGGCTGAGACTTTTTTTTTGCATGTTCCACCGACAAACTACTACGACAAATCATCACGTTTTATCACCTCTTGCCAACTTCTTTCCCCCAAGAGCTTTGATATTAATGACTAAATCCTGGCTTGAGGATATTTACAGACAGGGTTAATGACACAATCGCAGGGGAAAACAACCCAAACAGATGCTGAAGAATGGGACTTACTGCAGGCGGAGACTAACCCGGGTCTGTTTGGACTTTAATTAGGGCTCATTTCTGCTTCACAAGAGCCCTGGTCACTGTTGACAACCTGCCCTACAGACAGAAATATTTTCCTGCCGTTGTTAAGATGTTACTGTCTGATAAGACAGACTCAATAACGCATAAAGGAAAGGGTTGTGACCCAACCCTGCCTTTTATACTAAGCCCTGATTGCTCGCTTAATGCTTGCGACATCAAAGTCATACTAATTTCAACTGTTTGTGTGTGTAACTAATCATGCTGTGCTTTAAAGAGAACTGGATGAAAACCTGACTTGTTTTTCTTCTTCTTATGAACAGCTTCTTAGTGTGTGTAATGTAGGATATTATCTTTTCCAGCTCCTGCTATTTTGAGAAAGATTATGAAAACCTAAACCATTTTTTTTCCTCCATGTAAATCTTTCCCAACATGTATTCATTGGAGTTTCACAGCACCACAGTTACTCACTGTTCAGCGATGATGTAGCCGTTCTCCTGTGGCGTACACTGGACTCCTGCCACCTGCACGTTGTTCACCATGTCAGAGAAGGACAGGCCCAGGTTCACACCACGGATGGTCACTCTGGTGCCCCCTTCTGGTGGTCCGGCCACTGGGGTTACCTGGAATGAGAAAGGAAGAGTCACTTTATGCTTCTAAAATTATTTTTAAAACTGAAAAAACATAAAAGTGAGTATATAAAGACAGATTGGTATTTTTTGTTGAACTAACACTTTAAATGTGAATGTGCTAATTGTTAAATAACCTTGCTTTGACCCAACATGCCCACTCCTCCACCATCTGCTCACAGCTCTCCATGCCCCGTTTTTTTTTTTTTTTTTTGTATTCCGAGGGAGACTTTAACTCTAAGAGGGGGTTTCATGACCCTTTATTCCCTTTATTCACAGCGGAATAAACCACCAACTTATTCATTCATTAATTTTGTTATTGGGTTAGTCCCTTTATTAATCTGGGGTTGCCACAGCAGAATGAACCACCAACTTATCCAGCATCTGTTATACGCAGCGGATGCCCTTCCAGCCGCAACCCATCACTGGGAAACATCCACACACATTCACACACATACACAACGGACAATTTAGCTTACCCAATTCATCTATAGTGCATGTCTTTGGACTTATAGGGGAAACCGGAGCACCCGGAGGAAACCCACGCGAATACGGGGAGAACATGTAAACTTCACACAGAAATGCAAACTGACCCAGCCGAGGCTCGAACCAGCGACCTTCTTGCTGTGAGGTGAGAGTGCTACCCACTGTGCCACTTTGCTGCCCTGAACCACTAACCTATTCAGCATATGTTTTACACAGCGGATACCCTTCCAGCTGCAACCCAGTACTAGGAAACATCCATACACACTCAAACACATACTCATACACTACCTTCAAATTAGTTCATCGAATTCACCTATAGCGCCTATGATTGGACTGTGGGGGAAACCCATGTGGAGGAAACCTACGCAAACATGGGGAGAACATGCAAACTCCGCACAGAAATGCCAACGGATGCAACTGGAGCTAAACCAGCGACCTTCTTCCTGTGAGGTGACAGCGCTACCCATTGCACCACTCAAGAAATTACCATATGAAATATTTTATTATAATAAATAATTAAGGAATTTAATATGCAAAGCCTAAACTATTAAAAGGTCTCCAATTGAACATTGTAAAATGCCTCCTTTTAAAGACAATTGCTCCTTGCATTGTGTTTCACTTTAATAGCACCGAATTACACATCAGTAAAACTCATTGTGGCAACTTCCTATCCTATTAAAGTTGCATAGTACATTAAAATTCTCCAGTCAAGACTGCAGCAGATCTGCATGCTGTTGCCACAGGCAATAAATCTAACATGAGGCCATTTTAGCCCTCGGAGCAGCCCACCCTCTCATAAAATACAATATGGCCACTCAGCGTGACCTTGGCTCTGGGTGCCAAAAAGCCTTCTGTGCTGTTAAAACCCATGAGAAGCTCAGTCCTGGAGACTCTCCAGAGCCAAATATCACTGAGAGAGAGAAAGAGAGAGCAAGAGAGAGGGTGATGGACAGAACAGAAGGTTGCATGCACAGTATAGCTACATACACAATCAATAAACCATTTGTGTGCCGTCATGTGGAAGTAAAACCAACATGATCAAAGTAAAAACATTTTCTAAGCATCCCTGTTTACTGATCTGAGAGCAGCGTGATGCGGGAAGTGGACTAGATCCGGCAGCTGCTCAGCATGAACAGTGTATTCCTTGGAGTTCAGTGGACATTAATCGGTTAGGATGTAAAGTAAGTGTGTCATTAGTGAACCTTAGGGTGGAAGTATATGAATCTTTTATTGGTTCTTAGGAAGACAGGACTGGAGCCAGGAAACATCCGTAAACAGAAAGTGGTGGTAAGAGAGGCGGAAAGTGAAAGAATGGAATGCTAAATACAGCACAAACACATCGATAGCTCTAGACCTAACAGCTATATCTGTATAAATGTAAAAAAGACTTTTATAAGCCCTAAATCAACAACAAACACAGTGAGGTTATGTAATTAAATATTTATTTATACATAGTCAGTGGTGGAAAGAGTAAAAGTATAATTACTTGCCAAAAAATGTAGAGCAAGTAGAGTAAAATTCATTCATTCATTGATTCATTTTCTTTTTGGCTTAGTCTATTTATTAATCTAGGGTTGCCACAGCAGAACGAATCGCCAACTTATCCAGCATATGTTTTCTGCAGCGGATGCCCTTCCAGCTGCAACCCATCACTGGAAAACACTCATACACAGACAAAATACGTCCAATTTAGCTTACCCAATTCACCTAGAGCTTATGTCTTTGGACTTGTGGGGGAAACCAGAGCACCAGGAGGAAACCCACACAAACACAGGTAGAAAATGCAGAAATCACAGAAATGCCAACACAGAAATGCTAATTGACCCAGCCGAGGCCTGAACCAGTGACCTTCTTGCTGTGAGGCAAGCATGCTACCCAATGTGCCACCATGTCACTTTAGAGTAAAATTATCTGCTCCAAATGCTACTCAAACTATGAGTGAAAAACAGCCTTTCCGCAAGAGTAGCGAGTATTTTGCAAATGTACAGTAGTTTACATCAGTGCCATTTTCTTTTAAGGGTTTTTTTCTAAGCATAAGTTAAATAATTTGGCATTCATGGACTACATTTAAAAAGTGAGATATACTGTACATACAGTAAGAACACATTACGCTAATATATGCAATTGATTCAAATTGTTATCACTGATTGAATGGGCATTATCAGTGGCTATCAGCTGATAGATATGGGCCAGTAGGAGCCTTCTGTGCCTACTGGTAGGCTCAGAAGGCTGTTATTATTCATCTACAAGGTTAATAAGCTATAGATCACATACGGCTGCAGCTAGAAGTTAACGAGAACTATTTATATTATTTATTAAATTTCCCATTAAATGTATTTTACTAACGTCTACCCCTACCCTAGCCCAAAACCAAACCGTCACAGTAATGCAAAAACAGATCTGGAGTCTTCTCTATTAGTATAGCTGATTAACCATGGGAATTATTAAGATTATTTATTAATGTTCCCCAACCCTAAACCCAACCATCACACTACTATAAAACAGATCTGGATCTGGAGTCTTCGCTTTTAGTATAGCTGATTAACCATGTGGATGGATGATAAAAGCATTCTGAGCCTACTGGTCCATGTCTATCAGCTGATAACCACTGATAACGCCCATTTAATCGAATGCTAACATTCGAAGTGGATGATATATGCACCTATGATAAGCTGACAGAAAGTAAGTTGATCAAATCTATATAGACCTAAAAAGCAAAAATCAAGCTGTGCCGATATGTTAATGCGTTGTTTATACATCTGAACTCTTTCCAGCAGTTGGTGCTGAATAACTGACAGAAAACATGCATATTATGATTTGATTATAAAACATATTTTGTGGATTTAATTATTATTTAAGGCAATTTCACAATTTCAATCATCATACGGTTTTCTTTATGGTGTTTAAACAGTCTCTTGGTTGTTGTGTGTAACAATTTTGGGTCTTTTAAGACATTTTTAATGCTTTCACACTGTAAATTATTGCTGCATTGTGTGCATGTCTTTACCCATTTAAGCCCACGGGCAGCTAAAAAAGCAGTTTCTAAAAATTATTTTTTGTTCAAAAATGTATATCAAAATAATCATCAAGGTTTCTAGACTAATCTAAATAAATATTTCAAGAAATCTATAGTTTGTCAAAAGTTCAGTAAGTACATAAATCATGAGGAATTAGGGAATAATGTGTTAAAAGTAAATAAATCAAGGTTATTGGTCTTGTTTAATGGTTTTTGCTTGGTTTTTGATATCTTTACTTTAAAGTAGTCTTTTTGATATACAGCAAAATGATCAGGGTAAAATCAACTTCTGCCACTGGTCCCACTTTTACAAAGAGTTAAAATAACACTGGTGCAGAGTTAAAGCTCTGAGTGAACAGAGAATAATGAACTCCTGCTGTTCAAAAGCAGAATACAGAAGAAAAACATAAAACTACAACCAAATTCAGCCACAACCTTAGTGCCTTTTGTCCACACACACATGAGTTTTGTCTAAATTGCAGCTTTTTTTCTACACAAAAAACACCGGGTCACTGAAAACCATTTTTTTAAAACTCTTGTCAGGGTCTGTGGGTGTTTCATCACTTTAAGACAAAGCATTTTCTGCTTTCATGTTCATGAAATTATATGACATAATTTTCGGAGGGTTTATATCAAATGGTTTTCTAATTTTAAACGTAATAAATGTGTTCATGAATATGAATTGATCTTTTGAAAGCTGTTGTTTGAGTTAGAATGCCAAATGTTTTCCTACTATTCAAATTTTACATTGAAGGGTTCTTACAACATATTTGCGCACCGCCACTTATTCAAATGCAACTTTCTTCAAAAAAAAAATAAAAAACCTGGAGAAAATGAATGCAAAACATTTTCATATAGGACATAATTAACAAGGCTACATGCATGAAACCATTTTAAAAAAATTGGGCACAAATGGGTTAAGATCGCTTTGTCTGATGCAACCCTCTATGTGCAATCTGATTAAAAAAACAATCACAGACAAGACAGGAGAAAATAAACATATAAAGTACATGCTGACTGCAGGTTGAAGGAAAAGTGCACAGTAAAAGTACCAAAACAGATCTACTGAGGTACTCAAGTAAAAGTAAAGTCCTAAGAATGAACTTCTCAATTGCTGTAATTTGAGTATTTGTAATTCGTTACAACACTGTACATACTATTTTTTAAACAAGCCTGTAGCATGCACAGTGCACCACTGAATGCAACACTACTCTTAAATAAATCTCAAATATTTTGATTTCTTCCCAAACTATATAGATGTATCCTCAAATGCACCGGAGCTGCATGCAATGATAAAACAATCAAGCAACTAAATGACTTGGTAATGAATGCATGGTTCTGTGTACACTAGCGGCAATGCTTTCATCTGCAGATTAAATCTCATCAGCTCATGCGATGATCCTCTGGGTGTCAGATTCCAGCTTCACCCCGAGCGTGGTGCTGTTCTCACTGGCCATTACAGACATCAAATGGGCTTTATTCATAGAGCATA